GAATAATTTTAGACGTTTTTGCCATCTCTGCAAGTTGAAAGAAGGAAGAAGAGAATGAAGTTTGGTGTTTTGAGGGAAAGTTGATAACGAAACCTAGAGATTATGCAGCACGAAAAAGCTTGAAGGAAGTGAAAAACTTTGAAGATTAGGGCGGAAATTAAGAGTAAAGTTTGGGCAAAAGAGAAGGAAAGCACATTTATAGGAAGAAGATGACGGTTCAAAACCAATAATGGCGGCAGCAACTGACATGCATTTAATGCCTCGCTTACGTCATGGAGATGACGGCATGACAAGTCGAGGTACAAAATCCAAGGCTCATTCGTTTCTTCTCATTACACTCCAAGAAACGAGGGGACTATCTGTATACGGTTAAAACCGGGCATACCCGATTTTACTATTTGATCAAGGCTAGGGAATTGCATTGAAGGTCGGCCTCGCAAAGGATCAGACCGAGGTACGAGGATAAGGCACCGAGTTCGAGGATCAAGGCCAGTAGCGATCGAGACCAAATGAGACAGACATCAAGCAAAACACAATAACAGAAAGACGAGATATCCGTGACTGGCCTAAGATCATGGCGTAAATCTCGAAACAGATCAAATCAAGGGCGGTTATTTAGTTAATCATGGGATTTGCTTCTGTAATTAGAATTGTACCATAAATATAATTCCTCTACTATATAAAGAGGGCCCTAATCATTTTGTAACTATCGTACATTCACGAATATCAAAGCAATACAATACTTTCTAGCTTATATTCTTGTTCATCAAATTGTTATACTTTTAACTGTTCTTGCATTGGTCAGTTCGAGAGTGTTCAAACTCGAGGGTTGGACTCCATTCAAACATTGGTTTGCCTTATTTTATTGCTAATCTTTACACTTATCAATTGGTATTAGGTAAAATCACGTGTCCTTAAAATCCCATTATAAGTTTAATTATTATTCAATTTTTAGGGTAAACAGAAACATTATTGGTTGGTTAGTTGACTGGTTGTGAAAACTTTATTATAGTAAATTACCATCAACTCTTTTTAGATTTTTGTCTATATTTGTTTATTTTAATAAAACTGGCATGTGTTGAGCATCAACCGTTTGGAATCTTCAGCAGTTCTTTCGAGAGGCGGATCCAGGATTTCAAGAGTGTGGGTGCACTATTGTAAAGAGGTGGATCTAAAACTCACACTTGACGGATTTAACTTTAGGCTCTTACCCTGAATTCACTACACTTTTGAAATTATGGGTTCAAAAATTATATTCTTTTTGAAATTTTAGTAATTTTCACATGTATATCTATACTCGTGTCGAAAACAAGACAGTACGAAGTAGGATCTGAACCACCAATTTCACTTGTGAAGGTGCACCCAATAATTATTGCACCATGGGAGTCTTTAAGTATGAGTGTACACACATGTATTTAAGTAATTTAAAAAAATATATAACATTATTATACATGGTTTAAGCGAAGGATTACGGGTTCACGTGAACCCGTACCCTTAACCTTGTATACGCCCCTAGACTTCTTCCTAAGCAAACACACTTCAAAAATTGTCAAAAAAAAGGAACTACAAACCATCTTAGTCAAGAATTTACTATTATATAAAAAAAGGATTACATCTTTTAAAAAGTCGAGTTTGTCATTAAAAAAGAACCATTAAAATATATTAAAATACTCGTTAACTAAACACCACCCAGGTCCCCCAAACAGCAATAACATAAAGTTGTGGAAGTTTTACGCGCATATTTGATACGCTTTAGGCTGAAATATCCCAGGAAAAACTCTATCTTTTGGCTTCTTCTTTTAATAGAAAGCGACTATTAATAGTTTTTTAAAATAGTTGAAGACTTTGACAAACCATATGTGAAAAGGCCATTTTCGTTGCAACTTCGTCAAAACAGAAAGCTGTTAACACTTGGCATGTTTCGTATTTGTAGCATTTCCAAAATGGATTTGCCTTCATCAAACTCTGAGATGTGGGGGAAGTTTAAGGTGGAGTTAGGTTAGAAATAAGTTATCCATGATTAATTATTCCGGGTTTAGTTATTCCATCCTTCTGCAAGGATAAAAAAATACTATAATCTCGGAATAATTAATCTAGTGATTAGTTATACCACAATTTTATCTCAACTAAACAAAGGATAAACTCATCTCAAATTTAATCTCGGGATTAATTATTCCTTTTCCCTCGTACCAAACGAGTCGTAACTGTTTCGTTTCGAGTGATTTATGGTGTGCCTCACACAACTCACACTAATTGTGTGAGGTCTCTTCTTATCTCACACATTTGTGGACTCATATCTTATATATTTGGGTCCACAAAATTTTAGGACCAAAATATTGTAAAACAGAAAAGAAACCTCATATAACTAATGTCAGTTGCGTGAGACACAAAATAAAATTTTTGGTTTTGCATACACTTTGTTAGGCAGATTAGTAGTTACATATATGAATAGATAAAAGGTTAGCTGACCCACAGGTCTTGAAAGCCCATACATCATTGACGGCATTGCCGATTTAGTCAAATGTATTTAACAAACCCCACATGCCCCGTCTAATATTCTCTACATTCCTCATATTTATATTTTTTTTTGGTTTTCCATTTGGTGCCGATATATATTTTAAGACCTCAGTTAAATTTGGATTTGTGTCAAGAAATCTTGCATTAAGGTAAAATATTCCTTAACAAAAATCTCAAACTCGAAACTTCTAGTTAGAAATAAAAATAGAAGAATTAACCTGATCGCTTAAACTAAAAATAGCCAGTAATGGTATAATATACACATAATATATGTATTATATATATGTAATTGTATATCAATGTATAATCTCTGTATATGGCTAGAATAATAAATAGTAAATATGACCGGTTATTTGTGTAAAGATCCCAAAATATAAGTAATTACTTCACCATAGGGGTGGCAAATGATCGTGTCGGATCGGATATAGGCATGTCAAAAAGGGATAATGTAAAAACGAATAAATTATCCGACTTGATCCATATTTAATACAGATAAAAAATCGGGTTAACCGGTGGATAATATGGTATCCATATTATCCATGGCTTTTAGAATATGATCACTTTTGGAAGAATTCTAAGCTAGCGTTTGGCCATAGATCCCAAATTTATTTTGAAAAATCTGATTTGGATGAAGTTTGGTTTGAAGATGAAAATGTGTTTGGACATACGTTTTCAAAACATATTTTCCAACTTTATTTTGAAAAAATATGTATATAATTCCCAAGTTTTGGGATTTTGGCCCAAATTCAGCTCAATAGCTGATTTTGGAATTTGAAATTTTTGATTTGGGATTTGGCCAAAATATGAGCAAAATTTATGGCCAAACATGAGTTTTGAAAATAAATCTCAAATTTATTTTGACAAAACTTATGGCCAAACGGGGCCATAACTTGAGGAACTCCCAATTTGAGGCTTTACAAATATAAAAGTTAAATCCATTAATTATATATTGGTTATTAATTTTTTAAATAGATAATATAATTCTTATCCATATTTCACCCGTTTTAAATATTTATTATCTAACTCATTTTTTATTGAATAATATGGCTAGATAACTGTTTTCTTTTATCCATTTTTTCACTACTAATTTACCTAGGGGTGTGCATTCGAATCGGTTTATCGATAAATCGAATAGATTATTTGTTATCGAAATCGAAATCGAAATCGAAAAAATCGAAACTTTATTGAAACGATAACGATAAGCATATGTACAAATCGATAATCGATAAGTAATTATCGATAAGGGTCAAAATCGAATCAATAAATCGAATGCACACCCCTAAAGTTCCCACAAAAGTATGTTTGGTTCTCCACATTCCTCACACCTAATTAGTATACTTCTACTACTAACTAATATTATATACAGTGAGACCACTACATTTTTAATGGCACTGTCCCACTCTCTACTCTTGTCGGTGGTTTAACTTTTGAATCCCAATCCCCTCATCTCATCTCATGTTTATGTTCACTTCTACACACTATTCCTTAACCAAAAATCCTAACATTATTTAATACACCCATCTTCTTGATCCTCCAAAATTCTGCCCTCACCTTTGCATTTTCGCCCAATCGTTTAAACTAAAAATAGTAATATACGCATATTTTATCTATAATTGTATATAATTAATGTATAATCTATGTATATGGCTAAAAAACATAAATAGTAAATATGACCGGTTATTTGTGTAAAGATCCCTAAATATAACTTATTACTTCACCATATGGATGGCAAATGGGCGCGTCGGATCGGATATGGGTAGGTCGAAAACAGGCAATGTAAAAACGGATAAATTATTCGACCTGACCCGTATTTAATATGGATAATATATGGGTTAACCGACGGATAATATGAATATCCATATTATCTACGACTTCTTGAATATGATCACTTTGGGAGAACTAGTTTCCTAAACTTGAGGAACTCCCAATTTGAAACTTTACAAATATAAAAGTTAAACACATTAATTATCCATTGGTTATCCATTTTCTACGTGGATAATATGGTTCTTATCCTTATTTCACCCTTTTTAAAAAGTTTATAATCCAATCTATTTTTTAACACATAATATTAATATGGGTGAATAACTATTTTCTTTTATCCATTTTGTCGCCTCTAATTCACCACAAACGTATGTTAGTTCTCAACATTCCTCACAACTAATTAGTACTTCTACTAATAACGGTTGATATACCAACAAGGGTTGTGATAGAGAGGTAAGAACTCATTTATCGTTAATCAGAGATTTCGGGTTCGAGTCCCTAGGTATGGAATCGTCTTTGTTAGGGGAGCGCTTTATCATGTGGGACTTTCCGGTGCGAATTCGGATTTAGTCGGACCCAAATGTGGGTACCGAACACCGGGTGAGAAATTTATTTAAAAAAAAAAAAAATTGATACAGTGAGAACACTACATTTGTTAATGGCACTGTCCCACTCTCAACTCTTGTCGGTGGTTTAACTTTTGAATCCCAATTTTTATGTTCAGTTCTACACACTATTCCTTAACTAAAAATCCCAACACTATTTAATACACCCATCTTCTTGATTCTCCAAAACTCTGCTCTCGCCTCTACATATTCAAGATTCATATTAGCAAAGATTTTATTTTTCTCAACTGAGTAAAAAGAAAAAATCATGAGAATATACCAAGAAATGAAAGATGAAGAAGCTCAAACAAGAAGTATTACTACAAATACTGTAACACCAACTGCAGCTTCAGTTGTAATAACAGCAGCAGCAAGTGGAAAAAAAGAAGGATGTAATGGATTATTGGGTAAAGGTAAATATAAATTGTGGGTATTGGCTGCAATTTTATTGCTAGCTTTTTGGTCTATGTTTACTGGCTCTCTCACTCTCAGTCTCAATTGGTCTGCTGCTAATCTCAGCCGTCTATCTGATGCTTCTGATTTCTCGATCCATGATGATCTTGATATTCTGGTACTTTTTCTGTTCTCCTTTTTCCTTTTTCTTTGATGGGTCATTTACTATGAAGTAAAAATCTTAAGTTACTAAGAACAAAGATTTGATCTTTTCTTGATGTAGTGGTAGTGTGTTAATCCTTTCTGAGCCGAGGGCGTATTGGAAACAACCTCTCTACCTTCACTAGGTAGCTCTCTACCTTCACTAGGTAGGAGTAAGGTTTGTGTACATACTATCCTACCTAGACGTCACTTAGAGTACTATACTGGGTTTGTTGTTGTTAGTAGTGGTAGTGTAGTTAACAGATTCACCTAGTTTGGTATTGAAATATAGTTGATTGGTTATAGTAGGGCTACATTTCAGGTCAATTCACCTTAAATGTACTGCTCGAGCCGATGGTCTCTTGGCAACAACTTTTCTACCTACACAAGGTAGGGCTAAGGTGTGCGTACGCTTCGCCCTTTTCAGACCCCACGTATGGGAATATATCGGATTTTTTGTTGTTGTTGTTGTTGTTGCTATGTTGTCACTACTTGTTGCCGTTTCTTCTTTCATTCTTTCTTTAACCGAGTTTCTATCATAAACAACCTCGCTGGCCTTCTAGGGTAAGGGTAAGGCTGTGTACATCTTACCCTCCCCAGACCCCATTCGTAGGAATCCATTGGGTTTTTTGTTGTTGCTGTTGTTGTCACCTTAAAAGTCCTGCACTTTTTAGCTTTTCCTCTTTTTTAAACTTCTTTTTCTACTTTAGATGATGGATTTGCTTTTCTGGGGTGTTTGATCTCTTTATTTTTCACCATTTTAATTGTTAAAATGCTAAGTTGAATTGATTTTTCTTTGTTGGGTCATTTGCTATTAAGGAAAATCATAAATAACTTTAAAAAAAAAAAAAAAGAAATGATTTTTGCTTGATGCAACAGTAGTACAGTTAGTTGGCTAACTAGTTTTAGTTTGGGACTGAGACGTAGTTGATTACTTGATTGGTTGGATTAGGAGTACATATCAGGTCAATTTACCTAAAAACTTATTTGTTTGCTGTACCTTTTTCTAATCTTCTTTTTCTACTTTAGATGTTAAACTGAACTGATTTTTCCTTGACCTTGAGGGGTCACTTACTATAAGGAAAATCTTAAGTAACTAAGAAAGAATTGATTTTTGCTAAATGTAGTTGATTGGTAATAATAGCCAATAGGAGTACATTTCAGGTTAAATCACCTAAAAAAGTCCTTTTCTTTAATACTTTTCCTCTTTGTATTCTTATTTCTTTATGTACTTTAGATGATGGGATTTCTTGTTTGAGATCTTTATATCTTGAAATTTACACCATTTTATGTGTTAAGATGTTGAATTTATCTGCTGATCTGTAGGAATTGGAGGAAAAAGAGAAAGTGGTGAAACATATGTGGGATGTGTACACACAGAGTAGCAGAATCAGGTTGCCTAAGTTCTGGCAAGAAGCTTTCCAAGCAGCATACCTAGATTTGACAAGTGATTCACCGGCTATCCGAGACACTGCCGTGGCGGAGATTGCCAAGATGTCCATGCGTTCCATTTCCACTTATGAATCACCTTCCCACCAGCAGTCCGAACCAAGGTAAATTTTTCTAATCAAACTTGTTTTGTTGTATGTATATATATCAATCAACTATGTCTCAGTTCCAAACTAGTCGAAATCAGGCTATATGAATTCTTGATGTTTGTTCTGCTCTAATAGTAAATTAGGGGGTTCTTTGATTTGTGTTCTTCTCTCTAATGTTTTTTATCTTAGAAAATGGGATTAGCTTAGAAAGCAACTTATCTTGAGGAGCAACTTAACAAATGTAAAAGGGTAGTTGAAACTTTTCCTAAAAGTCCAACTATTTGAAACTGAATCTAGACTAGAATTTGCTTATAACAAACAATTGTTTGATCTGGTTGTGAACAGAGAAGTAAAGAAGGAAAGAGGATCAAAAAGCGAGCCGAAGACGATTACAAAGCAACAGCAATAATGGAAGTGCAGTGTGTCTATTGAGATGAAGATAGATGCAGAGTTGTGGTTGAACTCATTATTCTTGGTAGTCATAGTATTACCTACTAGAGCTTTGTTTTGATATCAAATGATCAAATTTCAGTGAAGGCAAAGGTCTTCCTTTTGATTTCCCAAGTCAATAATACCATTTCAAAGCCATTTAGTGGATTATGATGTTACAGTGTTACTTCCTATTCAAAGATTTCTAGCCAGAATCTTATTAAAAATGGGAGTGTATGGATTAATTCGAATCAATATGGAATTATTACCTCATGCCCCTTATGTATTTTCTCCAGATAATAGGTACCATACAAATAATCTATGCAGCTTCAACATCTCCTGGCCAACCGAATTTAAAAAACACCGTAGTAAATAGGAGGGAAAATCGAACTAAATTCTTCGTTTTTACAAAAATTTTGCAAAAAAATAAAAATTAAAAAAATAGAGCAAGTTAAATACCAATAATGCTCTTAAAGACTGTAGTCTGGAGTATTCATCTTTTCTTGACAGGAGAAACAAATGTGTAAGCACATTTAAGTTTGGCAACCAAAGTAAAATCGATTAAATATCTATAACAAATAAGAGCCAAAACTCACTTTTTATGAATTCTCAATAATTTTGTGTATTATATTCGAACTGTGATGGTCCAACCAGTTATGTCAAATAATAAAAATATTATAGCAGTAAATTTTTGGTTTACTATATATCACGTGTTTCAATCTTATTGGATTAATTATGCATTACAACTCAGAACCAAGGGGCCGGGGTCATATGTTCAGTACTATTTTTTTTTTCCAAGTAATGATATTAACGTCGAGATGCTTTTTAATTTTCATCATTCATCGTCTCAATAGGATTTCCGTTAAGTTGAATATCTATAGAATTCAATTAATTCTTTTAATAGAAAATCCAGGAAACAAACAGGAGTATAAATTTTCTGTTAGTGCAAAAAGTTAAAGAGAATAACTTTTAGTCACAAGCTGCTAAATTGGAAAAGAAATAACCGTTACAGTTGATGACAAAACCAACCTCTTGCAAGAGGACTTCAAACTAGACAATGATGTTCCTATTTTAGCCATGTCATCTTCAGCAGCATAGTGATCGTTAATCCATCTTCCAAGTAAGAGAAATATTAAGGCAGCCCGGTGTAGGAAGTATCCCGCGTTCACACATGGTTTGGGGAAGAACCGTACCCCAAGGGGGTGTAATGTAGGCAACCTACCCTGATGCAAGCATCAGTGGCTGATTCCACGGCTCGAATCCGTGACCTATAGGTCACACGGAGACAACTTTACCGTTGCTCCAAGGTTCCCCTTCAGGTAAGAGAAATATTTAAAAAAATATATTTTTTTTCGAGTTAGAGTTAAAAAGGACAATCTTATAAAGAAGATATTCACACGTGCATCACTGATAATAGGTGAATTTAACTATAATTAGGCCCTAAAGAACCACCTTCTTGTATAGTTTTGATGATAAAAGTGATAACAAAATGCATCATTAGTGCTTTTCATGCTTTGCAAGTGATATATGACAAGAGAAGGTTATGGAGTACTTTTGGGAACAAATATGGAGAAAAAGAGGCCAATCGTAAAATTTTGCCAAGTGAACCAAGCGAAGCAGCTCAAGCCAGGCCTGAAGAAGGACTGCCGCGGTTCCACCGCGACCGCGGCAGAACCGCGGTAGAAGACGGTCGCGGATAAGTTGAGATTCAGAGAAGGTGTGTGGCCGCGGTTTGACCGCGACCGCGGCAGAACCGCGGCAGAGTTCAGGGACTTAAGTGCAAAATACGGGATTTTTAGCCCAAAACCCTATTTTAAATACTAGACTTCGCCCAAAGGAGGCAAGGATTGTATTGGAGAATATTTTAGCAAGGAAAACAATTGTGAGAGATCACCCAAAACATCTTTCTTCTTTTCTTTGATTTTTCTTGCAAGTTTTATGATGAATATTGTTTTAGTTTGTTTACCCACAGTTATGAGTAGCTAAATCCTTTGTCTAAGGTTTTGATGGAACCTATTGGGGGATGAACTTCTTGTTTATGTGAATACAAATTGCTAGTTCCAATCTCTATTTGTTCAACTATGTGTTTGTTGTAGTTAATTGACAGGATCCTCAATTAGCTGTGCCTATTTAGTGTGCATAACTCGGGAGAGAGTGCATATTTAGGTAATTGTTGAACAACACCACTCCCAAAGTATATGAGGGATCAATAACCAAGGGTTTAAAGGCGGGATTAGGGATAACGAAGCCTTGCGTGTAATCTAAAGTGAATTGTGTTAAATAAAGCAAGCTAGTGTATCTCGGGAGAGTTGTGACGACCCAAAGGGATCATCACCTGTATTCCTACTTCCTCTGTACTTCTGAGGCCCTGGAAACCTCACTTGGGGGTTGCCTCGACTTGTGTGCGCAGTCCGGGCGCGTAACCGGAAAGTTTACATGTGAATTTGTGAGAAAAATAATAAAAATTTGATGTTTTAAATTGATCGACTTTGACTTTGGTCAACGTTTTGGACAAACGGACCCAGACTCGTGGTTCGACAGTCCCGGAGGGTCCGTAGGAAACTTTGGGACTTGGGTGTGTGCCCGGAATCGAATTTCGAGGTTCCAAGTCCGAGAATTGAATTATTTTGTGAAATTGTTTTCTGAAAATAATTAAAGAATTTGAAAGTGTTATTTGTTTAGAAGACTGTGTTGTTGGGCTCGTATTTTGGTTCCGACGCCCGGCACAAGCCTTAAATATGAGTTAAGCAATTGCTGTGAAGTTTGGTTAGATTTGGACGTCATTTGACGTGTTTTGAGCTAGCAACAGTAAAATTTGATGTTTCATGGAAATTGGAAGGAAATCATGGGTCTTGAGGCCTAATTCGATGTTGTTTTGGCGATTTGATCGCACGGATGAGTCCGTAGGATGTTTTTGGAGTTGTGTGTATGTTGGGTTTGGAGCCCCGAGGGCTCGGGTGAGTTTTGAGTGGGTCCCGGGAGGGTTTTAGACTTAAAAGCATCAGAAATTGCAGGTCCAGGTGTTGCAGGCCCCCAGCGCGGCCGCGATCATTTCTGCGCGGTCCGCGCTGGAAACCGCGCGGCCGCGGTGCATTTCTGCGCGGTCCGCGTGGCTAGGTTCAGAGGGCCAGTGAACTCTAGGTCAACCAGCGCGGCCGCGCACCAAATCAGTGCGGTCCGCGCTGGATAGGTTCAGAGAGTCGTTTTCCTCCCTTCCTCGGCGCGACCGCGGGGCATTTTTGCGCGGTCCGCGCCAGTCCTTCAGCAAAGTATATAAATCTGAGATTTTCAGTCATTTTGCACTTTTTCAAAACCCAAAACATAAGAGGCGATTTTCCAAACGATTCTTCTCCTTCAAAACGATTGGTAAGTGATTTCTAACTTATTTTCCTTGCTTCTTAACATCTTTAAACATAATTTCAACTTCAAAACAAAGGATTTTAATGGGGGAATTTGAGAATTTAGGGTAGAACTAGGGTTTCAAAATTTGGGGGTGTTGGACCTCAATTTGAGGTCCGATTCCAAAATAACTTATATATCTGAGTTCATGGGGGGATGGGTAGTCGGGTTTTGGTTCGAACCTCGGGTTTTGACCACGTGGGCCCGGGGGCATTTTGGGGATTTTTGAACAAGCTTTGGGAAATTCACTTTTCATACATTCAAATTTATTAGATTAGCCTTTGTTGATACACTCAAGTATTTGTGACTAGATTCGAGCGGTTGGGTGGTGAATTCGAAGGGTAAAGCGATACTAGAGGCTTGAGTTGAGTTGGAGCATCCGAGGTAAGTGCTTGATCTAACTTTGGTTTGGGGGAATAGGTTTAGAGTATTATTTGCTAATTGCTAAATGTTGAGTACGGTGTATAGGCATGGTGACGAGTATCTATACACCGGTGTCTAGCATGACCGTGAGTCCTTGCTTGTGCTTATTCGGGATTCTGTAGTGACTCCTTCTTGTTTAATTGATGGACTCGATATAATGTGAACAATATTAAGAGGAAAAAAAATATGAATTGTAAACTCCTTGGAGTGTTGGCTCGAAATATGACACGATTAAGACGTAAGAAATGAACGAAAGAGGAAAAGTTGTAATTACTCCCTTGCCGGGACGTGTAAGTTAATGTTGTTGCTCCCTTTGTCGGGAGTTAATGGTTTATTTGCATTCTCCCTTGCTGGGATGGTTGAATTGATGCTTGTTCCCTTGCCGGGAAATCCTTATATATTATGAAACGGGATCGTGTGGCACGCCGACCACTTATATATTATGAAATGGGATCGTGTGGCACGCCGACCACTTATATATTATGAAATGGGATCGTGTGGCACGCCGACCACTTATATATTATGAACTGGGATCATGTGGCACGCCGACCACCTAGATATATGTATTATGAAATGGGATCGTGTGGCACGCCGACCACTTATATAGATTATGAGATCGGATGTGGTTTCGTGTTTACTTCTGATAAATTGTGTTCATCTGTATTTCCCCTAAGCATGTCCCCTCCCTGCCTTAGCTGGTATTTTCTGTTGTTATTTCATTGTACTTGCTTATACATATACACCTGCACAGGTTGTTTTTGGTAGGTCCTGTCTAGCCTCGTCACTACTTCGCCGGGGTTAGGCCAGGCACTTACCAACACATAGGGTCGGTTGTGTTGATGCTGCACTCTGTGCATTTTTGCAAGGTCCAGGTATTGAGCAGCAGCAGCAGCATTAGCACGGGGGCGAACCTTCAGTCCAGAGAGACCCGAGGTAGCTTGCAGGCGTCCGCAAGCCCGGCGTCTCCTGTCTATCTTTACATTTGGCTGTCATCTCATTATACCCGAGATAAACAGATTATGTTTCTTTCATACTTTGTATGTAGTACTCCTTAGATGTTCGTGAGTATGTGACTCCAGTCCCGGGGTAGAGATATATGTGTTGGAACTTCTGTATTATTGATCATCTATCTACATTTAAGTCTTCCGCTTATGATTTTAATTCCGTCGCCTTTATTTAATGCTGTTAATTATTAAAAAGGAATAGGTGTTTAATGAAAATGCTAATTAAGTTGGCTTGCCTAGCTCTCATTAGTAGGCGCCATCACGACTCCCGAGGGTGGGAAATTCGGGTCGTGATAAGAGTGCAACTAGTAAATTACTGTGATTACTCGGGAGAGATTTATGGTAAGAAGAGCGTTCATGATTGATAGAGATGTGTTGGTAAATTTCTATGAAGCATAAACAGAAGGAATTCCATCAATAGGGGAAATTATTACCTTAGTACTTTCTCATTATTGT